CAATTATTACAGAACCTAGTAGGTACTGAAGTATTAACGATGGAGAGACCAAGATTTGAGGCATCATCTGAGAAGGAGGAACATATTTTATCACGGACCAGAATATTGATATTAAAATCACCACAGAGTATAACATTATCATAGTCCATAAGCATCATAGACAGTTTCTCAAACAAAGGACTTGTATAAGAGGATCTATTAGGATTATACACACAAAAGACAAGAACTTTTTTTAGGCGATCGGACAACTCAACAAATAAAAACTCAATTTCCTCAGTACTTGATTCGCAAACAAGCTTCATGTTTATGTGGTTCTTGCAGTAAATTGCAACACCGCCACCTCTTTTGCCAATTCGATCACGTCCGCATAAGCTTGTAATTACTTATGCTAAAGTGAACATCACTAACACCCTTAGGGAACCAAGTTTCTGACACGCATATAACATCAACAGCGGAGTGCTCAAACACATATCTGCATTATCCATTTTTACACTATTTAAGCTACGGGCTTTAAAATTGACAATGTTAAGCCCACGCTGTTGTCTACATAACACATTTAACATAACAAGACTGTTATCATCAACGCTATTGATCTTACCATCACCAACCACCATACAGCAAGTAAATAAAAGCAACTTCAAAATAAGAACAAACACATGCAGTGTAGGAGAGAAGAACGAAGAGATGAACCACCTTTACAACATTAAACATATTAAAACACATGCTTAAGCTAAGAGTAAAGAAACAAGATATAAAATAAATTAAAATAAACGTAGACCGTTAGCATAAATTATGCAGATCAGTGCGCGTATCAATTTTCCGCGCAAGTAAATTTTTGTCAACTTTGACATATACAACGCCGCGCAGCGTAAATACTGATGCCAGCTTCCCCTCTCTCCTTAATGATATAGCCTCCTGCCATGTCTTCCTAGTATCGGCAGCCAAGCTCTCGAATAGCGAAAATTTTCCCTCAAGGCCAACAGCAGTAAGAGAAATTATAGACTTAGTTCGCCTTCTGTAGTCACTAAAAGCACGAAGAGTTCGGTTGGGATCAAACGGGGAAACAAATTTTATCACAACTGCGCTGTTAGGGTTGTTTTGGACGGCTTACTGCGGAAAATATCCCGTACATGGGGGAACAAGAAAATCGATGGATAGACATATAAGATTAAATACGCTCTTCAAATTTTCTCCCTCAGTATATGGAATGCCAAATGCAAAAGTTCAGCAGCGATATCGGGAGCGAATTTTTTGTTTTCCGCCTTTTCAATTTCAGCTTTCAGTCGCTGCACTTCAGTTTCAAAACTCTGTTTTTTAGCTTCCAAAGCTGCAATCCGCTCAGCAGATTCTATTGTTTTTGAAGAGAGAACAGCAACTTCAGTATCAATCTTCTTACTCAGTGCCCTCTCAACCTCCGTTACCTTAAATAAAATACTATCGAAGAGAGACTCTAGCTTGTCGGACTGCCGCTGTACTATTTCTTCAAGCTCACGAATTGCTCTTAATATTGATGGAAGAGCAGCACTCTCGTCTAGTTTTACAGTTTTGGATGTAGGGAGAACTTTTGCTTAAGCGTCTTTTAGCGCCAGCAGATGGAGTGGATGGCATACCTTCAAGTTTAAGTTTACACCAACAATAGAGCAGAAAGAATAATTAATTAAGCGTAGGCACAAAATCTTTGTTCAGATGAGCTTTTGTTCAGCAACAGGTAATCCGTCAGCACGCTGGCGACCGAGAACACCAAATTATTTATTTAATAATACGAAATTCCACGAATGTTTAAAGCGAAACTGGAGCTCAAACAAAACACGTCTGCACTCTTTAACTCTTAGACTGCACGACATTGGGCAAAATTATTAAAAACAATAACATATGCTATGCACATAAGCCACATAACACGATCAGAAATATTTATACCGAAACAAAGGACAAAATTAACAAGGAACAACTACATAATGTAGTCTAAGAAATATCGTGCAAAGGAAATTAAGGCGAAATCTGCTATAAAATATACATTGGAACATCGAAGAGAGCATTAGGAACCAGAATCAACGAACACAAACTTGACGCCAAAAATAAGAAAAACAACAAAACAGCGTTAGCGCAGCATTTGACCACGAACAATCACACAGCAGATTTCGCCAACGCTAGAATCTTAGAGTGGAGAATAGAACTAAACAGCGAATGACATTAGAAGGGATACGCATACAACAAAACATATGCAAAGCGATGAACTACAAAGAAGATGTTGACAATATAAACAGTGCATATACTACTGCAATAACACACAATGTTTAAGCTATCCGAAGATAAAGAAGTTTGCTAAATGTTAAATATGGTGTCCGGAAAATGTATTTGTCGTTTCTTGAAATTGTGAATAGTTAAACTAATTTTTATGTTAATGTAAGTCAAATATATTCAAATCTAACTATGTTTGGATTGTTCTAAATAATTTTGCTTGTTACTAATAATGTTTTTCGTTTTTGCAAATTAATAAACAGCCTCCCTGGAGATGACGCTAAAATGCGTCGAAACGCATAGGAGAAAAAAAATTAACTTTGTTTTTATTTTCAACACACCGGCAGAAAAGCTCCAAATACAAATACACAAATTAAATTCATTAACTTTGCATATTTCAGTCTTTTCTTTTTAAAATTTCATAAAAGTAATAATAAACGCTTAAAATTTGAGATTTACATAAGAACAAAATAAATAAATAATTGATGCAGTTAGTTTTATTTCTTGTAATGTGCCTATTTATACTCCAAGGTAAATACAAAAGTGCATAACGTTATATGCGTCAATGTGTATGCCTGAAAATTCCAAATGCAGTGAAACATATTTACTGATCTACATACACATAGTTTACAATACAACAAACAATAGCAACTAAAACTATGTGCCAAAAACAATAGCTATATGTATGTGCATTCAATTGCAAATGCTTACAAACATACATATGTGCATACATACATATCTACACAAATTTCAAGTTCAAGGGCGAGTAATTAGCGGTTTGCCTAATTCCTTGTTCTTATCATAGGCAAGTGATAGTGTTTAAGCGTTTTCGGGATCATTACAGGAGCGTATTCAAGTGATAGGTAGTTCAGTGGCGGATCAGAGGGCGCATGCACTAAAGGGCGCATACAATGTGACCGAACATCCCGGGCCCGTTGAAATGTATTTCAAGCAGGTAGTACTGCTAATTTGTGAATTGGTCGGCGCAATATTCCTTTATTCGTGCTTGCAGGCTGTTGATATAGTCGCGTGACCATCTGCGCCAAAACAGCTGCTTGATCGCAGTAACACGAGCCCATTTGCTGATATGATCCATGTTGCAATTTTCCTAGCGCTCTGGGAATGCCATTAGGGAGCTGCCAATGAAAAAATGGCCAGGAGTTAGTGCCTCATAATCACTTGGATCTGCCGATAAAGGTGAGATTGGCCGTGAGTTTTGTATCGCTTCGATGTTTATCATCACTGTGTTCAGCTCTTCGAAGGTAAGTCGACTATTCGCCATGCTGCGGTGAAAATATTCCTTCGCTGACTTCACAGCGGCCTACCACAGGCCTCCAAAGGGCGGAGCTTTAGGTGGAATAAAATGGAAATGTAGGAATTGGTTAGCACAGTAATTCATTATTCATTCTTGATGTTCCTTGTCGAATAGGAACGTCTTCAACTCCTGAAGCCTTCTGCTAGCGCCTACAAAATTTGTTGCGTTGTCGAAATATATATCAGTTGGTAAGCCTCGCCTGCCGATCATACGCTTAAGAGCGGCCAAAAATGCATCTGTTGACAGGTCAGACACCACTTCTATGTGGACTGCCTTCGTTAAAAAACGCACAAATATTGCCACATATGTCTTGTATGGGGTCTTGCCTCTGATGCGCAAATATGTGTCGAATAGCCCGAAAAAATCTATGCCACAACGTGAAAATGGCCATGCTGGCATGAGGGGCGCTACGGGGAGATTGCCCATTGTCTGCTGAAGTAGCTTCGGCTTGTATCTGACGCAATGAATGCAGGATCTCACAATGCGACGCGCTAGGTCCCTCGCATTTATTACCCAGAATTGATGACGTAGTAGTGCCACAAGTGCCTTCGCACCTGCGTGGTAATGTACGATGTGCAAATGTCGAATATACAGCTCCGTGAAATGACACTTGCTAGGAAGGATGACAGGGTGCTTATGCATGTCTGCCAACTCAGCTAACTCCAAACGTCCACCCACCTTTAGTAAACTGAATCCACCATGAATTTGCAGAAAGGGTTGAGGAATTTAAGAGCTCCAGATACTGCTTTATTTTGTTTAATTGCATGAATTTCCTCGGCGAAACGCTGCTGCTGCACATTCCAAACAATGCACCACAGCGCTTGTTGCAAATTTTGAGGCGATAGAGTTTCTTTTTCGAAGTGAATGGTAAATGATTTGCTAGTTATTTGATGGAAGCGAAACATCCAGGCTATGATACGTAGGCAATGCGTATACGAGCTGTATCTCTAAAGTACTTTCAAAATATAGTTTTCGTTGGAAGTTACCTTGAATGATGATTTACGTTTTTCTCGACCAACTTCTTCCATGTCGATTTGATCACCTTCGTTGATTGGCCACTGTTCGGATTCAAGCTTTAAGAACGATTGCCCTGAAAACCAGATCGATCCGCTGAGTTCCAATACGGAGCAGCCTCGTGACTCGACATCAGCTAGGTTGCTCTTTGTTGGTACATGCCGCCAGCTTGCTCCTGTTGTGAGATCTTGAACGTCTTACACCCGATTACCCACGAATGTTGAAAGAGTAGCCGAGTGCATTCCAATCCAATGAAGTACGATCTATGAGTCAGTCCACAGAAACACAGGGGTGTCGGCGATGAACAGCGGTTTGATTTTCGCGAAAAGCCTTGCCAGGAGTAAGGCGCCACATAGCTAAAGCTTAGGTAGCGATTGCTTTTTGATTGGTGCTACTCGTGATTTGGCTGTCAACAGAGTGACAGTAGTTTTACCTTCCATCGTCTTGGAGCGAACGTATATGGAGCAGCCGTATGGCCGTATATCGAATAGACGAATCGCAAAACCCGTGGATTTGTATTGATTGATGACTTGTTGCACCACAATACCTTGAAACGGAGAGCGTATTGAGATTAGTTATGTCATCGATGAAGCGTTCCCAGCCCAACTGTATGGTTTAAGGCACAGACTCGTCCCAATTCAGCTTCAGAAGCCACAGCTCTTGTAAAATGATCTTAGCGGTAATAACAACTGGTGCGATTAGTCCCAAAGGAGCGAACAGCGCTGATGCAATGGACAAAATTTACCTCTTGGTTATTCGCCCATTCGCAGGTTGCTTAGGCTGAAACGAAAATAAGAAAACATCGTGAAGCTGATCCCATTTAATACCTAAAGTGCTGGTCGTCTTATCCTTGTCCAAGTTAAGATCCTTCATAGTGTCATCCTCTCGGAACATGTGGTGATTTGAATGCCACATGGCCAAAGTGAAACAGCCACGTCTCAGCACTTCCGTGACTTCGTATTTGATACGAGATATTTCGGCCAGAGTATCGGCACCATAAAGTAGATCGTCATCAGCACCAATAGGATAACTAGCTTCATATGTATCAGCAATGTAGTTGAGGCTCTGCACAGCAAGATAAGGAGCAGATGCCATCCCATACGTCACTGTATTTAATTGGTATGTGCAAACTTCGTCATCGGGCAACGAAACAAGCGAAAGCGTAAAAGCAAGATGTACAGCTCGTTCTGTAGAGTAGGCCCGACGGCTAATATGCCATAAAGCGATTTTTGCGAAGTGGTTCTGCACGAGGCGTCAAAGACAACTCTGAGCTTAGTTGTAGTGCTGGTTGGCCTCAAGACGTAATGGTGGGGTACATAGTAATGTGGGGTGTTTAGGTCGACTTTCTCGACTGCGCTCATATGTTCAGGGTCGCGATATTCATCCATAAAAGCGATGTATTGTTGTTTCAGATCATGACAGCGGGCTAACCGGCACTCCTGAGCACGGAATCTTCGAAGCGCTGTAGCGTATGATTGACCAAGGCTGTTATGGCTCTCCTTAAACGGCAGCTTGCCAACAACCCTTCCCTTGCTGTTTCTATGTACGGTCTGCGTGTATTCCCGAACACAATTCTGCTGCTCAGTAGTCCATAGGTCAGCCGTTGATGCCTCATCGAGCTTCCAGAGGGAGAGAGAGTTGTAAATTTGCACCCACGGATTCCTCAATAGAAAGCATGCATATTGGAGGCGAAATAGTTGTTGGCCTTTTGTATCGTCCTGAGATGGCAAATCATAAATCATAAAATATCGAAAAAGATGTCTGTACCGATGAGTATATCCACATGTGTTGACTTGAAGAAATTGTCATCAGCGAGCTCAATATTGGAAGGCAAGTTCAAAGACGTAATGTCGATTTCAGTATCTGGCTGGTACGCGATGTGCGAAGTCACATAAAACGACAAAGGTATCTCATAGCCAGATACCCTCGACTTGACAGTGGTTGACGTTTTGTGGTTTTATTTGTTACCGAATCTCCGATGCTCTGAATCTCAATGCGATGCCTTTCCCTTGGTAGGCGCAATTTTTGGGAGAACTCTTCGGTGACAAAGTTCACCTGGGAACATGAGTCGAGTAGCGCTCTACCCAATTGATAGCGGCCAGACGCATCTCGTATAAGTACCACAGCTGTTGCCAGTATGACTTGGTCTTGTGGCGATTTTTCGCGGTGTGTGTGTGCTGCTGCTGTATATACAGGTTGCGTTGATTGCTCGATCAGGGATGTGGAGATCGATGTTGACTGTGCATTGGAACTGGTAGTGCGATGAAAAGGCTATGGTGTGAACGTGCACAATGTTTACATTTAAATGTCGACGAACATTGTGCTAACTGGTGTTTTGGTGACAGACAATTCAGGCACAGACCTAGTCGTTTTACCTCCTTAAAGCGATCTGCAACCTCCATCTGTTTGAAACGTGAACAGCTGGCAATCAAATGCTCTGAACTTGAACATAAGATGCAAGAGCGTTTTGTGCACGAAAATGAATAACCCTTACGCGAAGACTTGTTCTTGCTGTCTGGTTTGTTGCCTGGTTTTACAGAGTCACCAAATGCGAGAGGGCCAGATGAGAATTCCAAAAACTGACAGCGACGTTCAAGCACCTTTGCACACTCTTCCCATGTTGGAAGCTTTGTGAAGTCTAATGACTCTTTCCACTTGGTTTGCGTTTCATCATCAACCTTGTCCATTACAATGAGGATTAGTAATAGATGCGAAATCTTTTCAGAGCCGATTGACAACATCGAACTATATAGCGCAGACACGTTGTCAATCGAGCTGCGTAACTGAGAAGCGTTCTGCCTTGCAGTGGACGGAAGCTCGAACAACGCTGTTATAGTTTCAATGAATATCATTGTGCTGTTGTCGTAGCAAGCCTTTAACCTATCCAGTGCCTTGGGATAGTTCTCGCAGGTGACCTGGAACGCCTTCACAATCTCCAAAGCCTGCCCTTGCAAACAATTGAGAAGGTGATTGAATGTCTCAATATGGGTTAGGGTAACTTCCTTGTCGATGAGACTCATAAACGATGAGATAAAATTTTTGTACTCAGAGTACTTTCCGCAGAAGGTGGGCAGCTTTAAAGTTGGTAACTTTGAATGCGTGTAAGGCGTAGGTAATGCTGGTTCACGAAATGATGAATTGTGAATATCATCGCCGAGCTGTATTTGGATTGATGAGCGAATGCTGACGTACAGGTCTTCCAAATCCCCACGACCGCTGTCATCAGGATCAAGTTTCTTGATTTGCGTCTGATAGCCCAGGAATTGGTTGAAATAGGATTCTAAAATCCCAAGCCGGCACTTGAGCTCGATGGGTGAAAGTATTTTGCCATATTTGTTGGCGCTGGCCTCCACAATTGGCCTAATGCGTGAAATATTCTTTCGCGTTAGCGAACGCTGCTGGTTAACTTCCTCCAGCGACATGGTGACCAAACTGTTTTGCAGTGGCTGATGCGGAAATGTTGAATTTGCGGCTTTCAGACTAGCGAAATGATGAAGCGAAGACTTTTTTAAACGTTGCTTGATGCACCACTGCCGCTAAACTCAAAGTGTGCGCAACTCAACGGAAGTTGCAGTAAAATGTGATAACGCGGAGTAAAATATGCGAAAAAAACTTAACTTTTAAATTTCAGCAATTGCCAAAAAAACAGCAATACATATAATTTATTTTGTCGTGCCCCACGTTGGGCGCCAAAACTATACGGGCAAACTAATTTGCTTGTCCGGCGGCAATGCTGAATAAAATAAAAAACGCGAAAGAGTTCTGCTTAGGATTCAAAATGTAAAATGCCCAGTTTTATTTCTTGTAATGTGCCTATTTATACTCCTAGGTAAATACAAAAGTGCATAACGTTATATGCGTCAATATGTATGCCTGAAAATTCCAAATGCAGTCAAACATATTTACTGAACTACACACCTATAGTTTACCAGTTAGCGAAAACAAAAGCAACTAAAACTATGTGCCAAAAACAATAGCTATATGTATGTGCATTCAATTGCGAATGCTTACAAACATACATATGTGCATACATACATATCTACACAAATTTCATGTTCTAGGGCGGGTAATTAGCGGTTTGCCTAATTCATTGTTCTTATCATAGGCAAGTGATAGTGTTTAAGCGTTTTCGGGATCAGTACAGGAGCGTATTCAAGTTATAGGTAGTTCAGTGGCGGATCAGAGGGCGCATGCACTAAAGGGCGCATACAATGTGACCGAACACTGCCATTCACCTGGGAGTGGCCAGGAGCGATTCTTGTGCGTACGGTTCAAATCGCAGCTCACAACTTCTGGATATTTATATCCACGTATCCTCTGGGTAGCAACCAAACACCCATTTGGGAGCGAACTAAAGTGAGAAGGCGTAAAACTTCGCGTGCGCTGGGTTTGGGTCCCGCCCAATGAAAAGAGAAAAACAGCCTCGGATGAGACCCCTTTTTCTGATGACGACTACGGTAAACGTATAAAGAACTACGATTTAAGGGTATGCACCTGGAATATCCGGATCCTTAATGGGGAAGGTGCCTCTGCCCGGCTGGTTGATGTCCTCGGGAAGACAAAGGCTGACATCACCGCCATCCAAGAAATGCGATGGACGGGGCAAGGTAAAGTAAGCGTGAAGCCTTGCGACGTCTACTACAGTTGCCACGTAAAGGAGCGCAAATTCGGTGTTGGATTCGTGGTAGGAGAGAGACTCCGTCGCCGAGTACTGGCGTTCACCCCGGTGGACGANAATATCCGGACCCTTAATGGGGAAGGTGCCTCTGCCCGGCTGGTTGATGTCCTCGGGAAGACAAAGGCTGACATCACCGCCATCCAAAAAATACGATGGACGGGGCAAGGAAAAATAAGCGTAAAGCCTTGCGACGTATACTACAGTTGCCACGTAAAGGAGCGCACATTCGGTGTTGGATTCGTGGTAGGAGAGAGACTCCGTCGCCGAGTACTGGCGTTCACCCCGGTGGACGAACGTCTAGCCACAATCCGCATCAAAGCTAGATTCTTCAA